TGTCTCAGAGGCCTCCTTGCACAACCTACACCTTGGGTCTTGTCTGGTGTGGTAGATCTGAGCTTCTATTGCTCTGGTGTTTAGGGCCTGTTCCTGGGCGGCCAGGATGAGGGCCTCTGTGCTGTCCTTGAGTCCAGCTTTCTCCAGCCATTGGTAGGATTTCCTGATATCAGCCACTTCAGTTATTTGTCGGTGGTACATCCCATGTCAACACATTCTCACTCCCAACTCGTCACATATTGACGCTTGGGCAGGTACCCTCGGCGTCACATATTGACGCCAAGGGTACCCCCTTGGCGTCAATATGTGACGCGAAGGGTTCTCTCATTGAATGCTGTACCGTTCCCTAAGCGTCCGATACTGACGACTTAGGAACGAATAAGATGACGTGTCTATTCTATTTTTTTAAAAACCTTTATTTACAATTTATGTGCTAGTTTGAACAGGATATTAAGAATATTTACTACAAATACATGTCAGACGTATCGGTCACAATACTTTAATTCGGTATTTAAAAATAACTCAGTAAAATATAAAACCGGAGGGGTTTTGTTGTGCTTGTTGTTAGCTTGATTTAAAAGCCTTAAAAAATAAATAAATTAAAAAAAATACTTTTGAGTATGATATCAATGATTTACACCAAATAAATTTAAGAAAAATTAAGATGTGTTTTCGTTTGTGATTGCATGCAAACTGTTCTGTAAACCTTTTAATATGTTTGATTGAAATAAAAATAAGGACGGATCCCACAAAAACCCAAGAAGAAGAATAAGCTGACGTCATCCTATGCGACACTTACACTCCGGTGAGTAGAAATCTGCATCTGTCAAAATGTTTTTGTACTCTAAAACCAAAAATAACTCCAAAGTGTTACGTTATAAAATTACTGTTGGTAGTTTTAGGACTTAATGGCAGTAGGACTGTGATACGAATGGTTGAAGACACGTTTGTAACATTTTTTTTGCCGGAAAATATACAGTGGAAGCTAGCTAAATTAGCCTCTCGGAGGCTAATTGTTCATGTACACTGTACCTGTGCTTAATACGTTTACTTAGCCGTGATAAAGTCACATAATAATGTTTATAGTCATGCTTGTTGTTGCCACTTTGTNCCACAGGGGTCTTTAGCAGGTATTGACCCAAAGTCAGAGTCCAACTAAATACAAAGCAGTGAAACAAGTTGGTTGGCCCAGGCAGGGCTGACATCAATAGAAGCTATGGAAACTTATGTAGTGAATTGGCAGAAAAAAAAAATCCAGATTTTCCAAAAATGAAATCTTCATTAACACCAAATTTGATTAATCAATAAAATCCATTTATCACCTTACTCAACACAACTACAAAATCAAATCAAATTTCTTCGTTTGTCATTTCGAAATGGAAATTATTGCAACTCTGATAAAATAGCTCATACTTTGTGTTCATAAAGTGTAGCACTATTAGGGAGTATTCAGTATTATTTATGTATTTATATTTAAACACAATTAAACCTCAGCCTGATTTCTTCTCTTCTCTCTCCGTAGTATTAGTGATGATGATGAAGTGCCTCCAGTGTCCAGTAAGTTCAGGAACATCTACCCCATGAACAGTTATGAGGACAGCAGTGTGGTGTCGGCCGCTGTCAACGGACTTCACCGTAACATCAACGGGGATGCCGTCAACGCAGCACTGAAGCCAGGGGTGAGTTTCTGCTCAGCAAAAGTACCCGAGATCAGCAGTGAACTTCCCCACTGTGTTTCTGGATGATGAAAAGCCACTCTCATTTGATAATGGCTTACTGGTAGTTAGGGAACTCCACTGCTTTCCCATCGACTACTTTTCCTAATTTAGTTTGTTCTACAATTTCCTCAGTCTCCTCAGATTACCAGCAGCAGCAGCTCATCAGAGGGTGATGAGGAGGAAGCTAATATTCAGGCTGGTGGGGAGCCCCCGGGGAAGCAGGAAGTACTTTCCCTGGGAAAAACGGCCAGTCCGCCACCCTCTTACAGCCATCAGCAGGTATCGCAACACTTTAGGAGCTTTCCTTTGTATGGTCCTGTTGTAATCAAGGTTATTATGTGTCATTTGCAGAAAACACTTTTTAGGAGGATTATCTGTCTAACAAACATCAGTTTTGCAAAATCCTAGAAAATTATCTGATATATTTTGATTATGCAACAAAACAAGGAAAATACTTTGCAGATGTAAATGTTATTTGTCAATATTGAATACCATGTTTAGGTAGAACAGGTCCAGCATGCCTGCGAGTGCCACGTGTGCAACCAGGACCCAAACCCCTCGACCCCGGGCCCCGCTGCCTGCCTGCCCCCCAGCCGGATCCACGCCGTGCCTCCTCCCACTGTCGGACACCAGTTCTTTCCAGACACCAAGGCGCCCCCTGCTCACCCTGCCCTCCACTTGTACCCGCATATCCACGGGCACCTGCCCCTGCAGAACTTTTCCCGGCCCCTTCTCCACCCGACACTCTACCCACCCAGCCCACCTCTCACACACAACAAGGTGAGAAGGTGTCGTTCTTTCAGCTTACGTTTTCTTCTTGATTATGTTTCGTTGATTTTGGCAATGAGTGACTTGAAGGGGAATTTAATTTGTTTCCTTATCTCTGGGGATTTCTTTAAGGTTCCAGGAACAACATTGAGCTTCATTATGTTTCAGTTTCACTTTTTGTCAGTGTAGCTTCGTCCTCTGCCACAAGGGGACAGCCTGAATCTGATCTAAGCCCAAAGCATGTGAGAGCCATGCTAGTCAGTCAGGATGCACTGACCCACTTTTTTTTCTCTAGAGATTCAGATATCTGAATTGTAGTATCCATCTATTCCGATCTGATACAAAATAACAGCTGAATTGACCTAAAATACGTATACATATATTTTTTAAATAGACATAAATGTACTGAATTAAAAATACATTTGATAACTCTGCGCCAGTACAGCTCATTTAACACCAACAGTTTCACAAACTTGGTCCAACACGTAAAGATAACACAACTTTAATTGAAGTTAGTGCTATTTGGAGTACAACAGCCAATGTAAAATAAATGATAAAGAAACTGAAACTGACACAAACAGTAGGTTGACTACTTCGATCAAACATGTGAAAGAATAAACTAGAGGGAAACATGTAAAAATAAACATGATTTCAAATGGTTAGGAGTTCTACATTTAATTTAAAATAAATAATAAAGCATAGATTTAGACTGAATAGATCTGCCCTTAAGGATGTGGCACATTGTCACCAATAACTGATCTATAATTGTTGTCGACATCTGCACCGATACGGATATTGATATCGAATCGATCCAAACCTGACGTTTAAGGTTCCTGCTAACTAACGATTTTCTTTCTTCAGCCTCTGCCCCCAAACCCAACATCCAACCATTCAGCAGCCAAGCAGCCAGCATTCAGCACATCCTTACCGGACCATGTATACCAGAACTGCTTTGGTGGGACGGGCGGAGCGGGCGATTGGAATACCTCACTACAGTGCCTCTCTCTTAAGTTTGAAAATCTGTGGGATGCTGCTGTGATGAAGAGCTGGAACCCATCTGTGCTGCTGCCCGAATGTCTGCCAGGTGAGCCGCCCAGCCGCAGTGCTTCTTGCAAGTTTATCTATCGACACGTCATCACCTCTGACTCTGGTGGTCCACAGGTGAAATGCTGGGACCTCCGCTCCCCGACGTGCCCCTCCCGCCAACATCCATTGGCCTCCCGGGGGAGCATCCCCCGCTGCCCACACCCCTGCCCACATCTTCGTCGTCGTCGCTGTCCTCGTCGTTGTCATCTTCGTCGTCGTCGTCGTGCTCCTCTTCAGAAGCCAAAGAGCCGAAGAAGACCGGCGCCAAGAAGAAGTGTCTCTACAACTTCCAGGATGCCTTCATGGAGACCAACCGGGTGGTGATGGCCACGTCCGCCGCCACGTCCTCCGTGTCCTGCACTGCCACCACTGTCCAGTCAAGTAATAACCCACCCATCCATCTAGCATCTAAAAGACCCAACACTATAGGTAATGTAGGAAGGAAGAGTACAGGTTAGGTTTGTACTGTTATAAAGCTTTTTATCCTGGATAATGGATGAACTATAAACCCATAGCAGCAGTAAATGTCATTGAGGTGTGGAATCCATTTTAAACCAGTGAAGCCGTTACAGATACCAACACAAACCTGCAATATGGTTAGACAATAAACCAATAACAATATGTAATGTGATAGACACGTGATCAATATCAATTATTAATACATCTGATAGAATGTTCATGGAACTCTAATCCAGAACCACACAGCATTGTGGGAGATGTAGGCAGAGGAAAGGCTTTAGCCTCTTAATCTCTTACAGCGAGCTAAGCAAGGCTGGTGGCATAAACTGACTCACTCACTCACTCTGTGGTTACCTAGCAACAACTTGTTGTGTAACTTGCACGGCAGCAGACTCAGGTTTCACCACCATGCTTCATAACTTAAAAGTAAACAGCAGCATGGAGTGAAGATGAGTTCCCCCAGATTTCAAGCGGACATGATTTAGAGGTGGTAGGTCGACCCCTGTCTCCCAGCTCGGTACCACATCAGATCATCCTGCTACAGTTCAACCCATCTGTCCGGTGCAGTGGTGGGCAGATGTCCCACACCACCCAGAATGCACCATGGTCTGTCTCTTCAGCAGCATTCCTCCAGTTGATTCAGGCCAAAGCTCCGCCTGGGGCTTCTGCTGAAATGTTCACATCCTTCGACTCCTTAGATCTGCCTCCTTATGACCTAAAAAAACAGCAGTCAAGGTGGAGAGAACCTTGACTGCCCTGTAGACATTTCACAATAAGCAATAAGTCAATTAATCACAAAAAATTAAAATGAGCTTGATAAATTCTAGTTGCACAACAATAGTTATATATGATCCCTTTCAATGTCGCTGAAAAGCTGGCATTTTGAAAAACCCTGCAAATATTTGACACCCACTACAAAGTACTTTGTGGTTTTTTCCTTTTTTTTTCTTTAACAGTCCTGACACTTTTGCCTGTTTTTCTTGTCTAAGCTGAACAATTAACATTTTTTTTTAAATCCAATTTTAGTTTCAGAGTCTTAATAATCCATTTTAATTATTGTCATTTTTTATTTCAAATGTTTTTCTGTTGCATTGTTAAACATTTTTCAGAAGTTTAATTATATTTTTTAAATCTTTGAGTGTATATACTTGCATTAATATGGAACTTTTATTATTATTATTATTATTATTATTATTATTATTATTATGTCAGTTGAAAATGGTCTCAAAATGACAATATTATTGTTTATCGTAATAATTTCTGGGACGATTTATTATCCAGTAGTCTACTGCTACAGCTTTGAAGCACCACATTTCCCTCCTTAAAGCTGCAGTATATAGGGAATGTTTTTTACATATTTGTTAAAACTGTCACCATTTCAGGACCGTTTGTTACGAGACAGACAATCTGTGAAAAGAGTAATCTCCTCCACCTCCTCCCTGTGTGAGTGGCACAAGATGAGATGTTGATTGACAGCGCTAACACACTCCTCCTGGCTCTGATTGGTTGTTTCTAGTTAGCACTCCATAGTTAGCCAATGGAGTTTTTCATTTTAACAGTTTTTTAGTTTAATTTAACTCTACAGTGCACAGATTATTCCAGTATAAATGATCATGACTTCACAGTAAACAAAGTGTTGGTTTTAAGACTGAAGTCAGAGCTGCTGTGTTTTCTTACTGTCAGAATGTATTTAATATATATATATATATATATATATATATATATAAACCTCTAGTAATTCTGAGACTTCTTTTGTTTGTTTTTTCTAGACGATGTATTTCACAGTTTAGGTAAAGATGATCACAGACAGCCCATGTCAGCAGCTCCTAGGAACAACTCCATGGGACTGAGTTCTCTCCCTTCACTCTCTGGCCCCACCCTGCCCCCAGCACCAGCCTCACACCTCCCTGCCATGACCCCACAATCCTTTCCAAAGATGGCCGCTCCGGCTCCAGACTTTGTGGATTCTCATCAGGGCCTTTGCCTCCCGCCTGCTGAACCTCCAGCGCCCTCTATGGACGGTCCGATCAGCGCCCCAACTAGTGTCTGCAGGTGAGGAGAGGAGACTTAGTTCATGCCGTGCAGGAACATTGACACTCTGAACATAAAGGAGATGCTTAAAGAAACCCAATGTGTTCAGTGATCCTGACTGTGAAGGCCATCGGTGTGAAGGCAGCGGATCGTACGAACACCAGCCGTACGATGGAGAGGAGAGTCCAGATGAGGACAGCTGCTCCGAGCACAGCTCCTCCACCTCCACCTCCACCAACCAGAAGGAAGGGAAGTACTGTGACTGCTGCTACTGCGAGTTCTTTGGGCACGGCGGGGTAAGGCTCCATAGAGAAACAGTTGAAATGGACGAGGAAATTATGTTCAGAAAGTACAGTTAAAAGCACAATTAAAAAGATTTATTGCGTTAAAGAATGCCAGTTAACATTGTTAATTTTAATAAACACTATTTACCGCAACTACTGAATTTCCTTGAAAAATTGTACATGTCTTGATTACTTTTCTAAACTGTTTTTATTTTTCTTATCAGCCTCCAGCTGCTCCGACCAGCCGAAATTATGCAGAGATGAGAGAGAAGCTGCGCTTGCGTCTCACAAAGCGCAAAGAGGAACAGCCGAAGCGTGAGGAGCAGCAGCCAGTAATAGAAAGAGACGGCGGGGTGGAGGACCACAGGCGGGTGGAGGACCTCCTCCAGTTCATTAACAGTGCAGACAACAAACCTGCATCCAGTACCAAGGCAGCCAAACGAGCCAGACATAAACAAAAAAAGGTAACATGCCTCAGTTTAGATATTTATGAGGTTTGTCTTTCTGAAGTTAAGTTTACTTTTGTTAAATGTTCTGAGTGAGTGGATTTTGGGCTGAACTTTGACTGAGCCGTTCTAAGACGTAGTTGTGCTTCGATGGAAACCAGAGGTCAGCAACCTTTAAAACCCTAAGAGCCATTTTTGCCTTGAGTCCAGCTGAGCAGAAGATGTTTAGAGCCACAAAAGATTCATGAGCCTTTGAAACAAAATAGTAGAGAGGCAGAAAAAAAATCTATAGAATCACAATTCACAGTACTGAATTCTGAATGGACTCAGTGCTCAAAAATCAATTATGATCTTAATTTTAATTTTGCTTAATGTTTAATTTTTTAAGTTGCATTTTGAAATTTTCTCTGTTTTTTTTTAATTAAGAGAAAAGCTAGACAACATCTAAGCTGACCCTATGCTGGTACTTTGAGTTACATAATTTTATGCATAAAATTAAAACGGAAACCTATTTTTGTTTTAATCTAAACTGGTAGAATTTGATGCAGTAGGGAACTTGTAGAATAGCTTTAAATAAATCTTCTATTTGTTTACACTGACTTTTTGTCCTGTCAGTCACAAAATTGAAATTGAATCTCAACCATTTGAATAGAAAAATTGGTTTCTGAATTGAAACTCATTCCTGAATCAAATCGTGATGCTAAAAAGCTGAACTGAATCAAATCGCTAGGCACTGAAAGATTCACATTTCTACAAAATAGTTGATTTTTGTAGCGATTTGTTTGTATTGTATTTTTGTTTCAAAATTTTAAAATATTATAATAATATAATAATAAAATAATCTAAATGTTCAATAAAAGGAAACGAATGACTTTCAAATTTTGTAGAAAATTATGATAAAAAAACAACAGTTTGCAACCTCAACCTCTACATATAAAAAAAAAATGCTTACAGTTATTAAGAGCCACAGGCTGCAGACCCTTGATCTGAACCGTCCCATTGAAGCTCTGACTCTATATTTTGGGCTTGTTGTCCAAAGTCTGTTGTTCCAAGTCTTTTACTGCCTCAAGCACCATGTTTTACATTCTATTCATATCATCTCTAGTTAACCTCTAAAGAATTTACAGAGCGGCTAATGCTAAATTACCCCCAGATTTACTCTAATTAATCAAGTGTTTCAGAAGGAAATTGCTCGAACTGGATTCATTTACTATTCATTTATGTTTATTATAGTGAAGGGGGCTAAATGCAAATGCAGATTAACTTGTCAGATTTGTATGTGGAAGTGCAGTTCATCACAGATGTCTTTCTGTGCGTCAGATGGAGGAGAAAGCTCGTCTGGAGGCAGAAGCGCGCGAAAGGGAGGAGCAGCAGCTGCTGGAGGAGCAGCGGCGGCGTCAGGAAGAGGAAGAGGCGGCACTTCAAAAGGAACTGTTACGGCTGCAGGAACTGCAGCAGCATCGTGCCGCCAAGAAGAAAAAGAAAGAGAAAGCAAAGGAGAACACCACTCCCCCTCAAAATAACCCACAGCCCCTCAAACAGACAGCTCAGAATGTCCTAGATAACCTTCAGAACGGAAACTCGCAGCTGCTTCAAAACCTTCTCCGCTTCCCAGAGCAAAAAGAAGCCAGATTAGAACCCGTACCCCAGCCCAGCTCCAGGTGCCCCGTTGAGAAGACCCACACCCCCGACTCCACCGTTAGCCTCTTCAACGGCACATCTTCCACCGTTGGCTATAAGAGTAAAGCCAAGCAGTCAGGGAAAGTGTTGCCATGCGACTCGGTGTCAATGAGAGTCCCAGAGTTGCCCAAGAGCTTGGACAAGGTTGCAAAGACTAACTGCACCGCACCCCCCACCACAGCAGATACCAAAGCGACACGAGTCAGGCCCACTGAGACCACAGCTGCTACACCCACCACTGAACCACACAGGGAGGAAAGGAGCAGCAGCAGATGTGTCAGTGGAAAAAGGCAGCAACCAGAACAGCCCCTTACCCAAATCAAGGACACCAGGACGAGCCCCCTCATGTCAAATCCCTCGCCATCCCCCCCACCAGCCTCCCACTTTGAGCCCCAACAGAACGGCAAACCTCCCACTGCAGAGTCACCGCAGCCCAAAGGCAAGAGTAAGAAAAGCAAGAAGAAGAAGGGGGACAAGATGAACACCTCAATAGGTGGGTGTCAGTAAGATTCACTAACAAGAGCAAAAATGATGCAGTGGGCCGTAACACCATGCTCCACTCATCAGGCGAGTCAGTACACAGGATCTGGTTCACCAAACGAAAAACTTAAGGTTTTGGGAACACTTGAGGTTTCTTTGAATCCAATCAGAATCTAATCAGTAGAATACTTGTTTTTGTATTGACAAAACATGCATTCAAATGTTCCCTTTATTGTGTTTTCACGCACAAAGGTTTGGTTTCACAAGTCTTAGTCTACAGACAATCTCTGTACAGTGTAATATAATCCAGTTCAGGCTTGACCAGTTGAAGTGATTTAGATTGCGTACAAATCCTTCCTCACTACCAACCCAACATCAACTTCACAAGTCGACTCTAGGAACATAAAGCAACAACTCAAGACCTAGTTTAATTCAAAGTAAAAATCCCACATAGACGGGGAGTGTCATGCTTAAAGCTGTCACCTTGAAATCTGGACTTATTAGAAATGCACAATATGGACCTCCTGCAGTGACGTCACACAAAATCCTGCCCCAATCTCCCTGCTGGAGGGCAAAAAGCTGCAAACTGATGATGGCTACCATTGGTTTTAGCTGTTAAGTTGTCAATATAATGCACTAAATCTTAAAAAATGCCTAATATGTCAAAGGAAAAGGGACACAGTGCTTTGCTACTAATTGTCAAGTCTAAGACAACTAGATACCAAGGTCAGGAAAAATTTTAATTAACGAAAAATGGTGAGGGAGAGGGGAGTACTTCAGTTATTCTTGCTTGACCTGGATAGCTTAAGATGTAGATGCGATGTGGAATTTGTTGTGTTTCTGTTCAGTTAAGAAATAATAAAAAAAAGTCCACCCACACACCAATTCTGACAGACGGATCAGTAGAGCAGGTGTTTAAATGAGCTAATCTACCACCACTGTATTAGATTAGCTAATAGCAGCAGGAGCAGCTAATCTACCACCACTGTGTTAGATTAGCTAATAGCAGCAGGAGCAGCTAATCTACCACCACTGTATTAGATTAGCTAATAGCAGCAGGAGCAGCTAATCTACCACCGCTGTGTTAGATTAGCTAATAGCAGCAGCAGCTAATCCATTACGTTGTTCACTTAATAATCGCAAAATAAACATCAGGCCTAAAAACATAATACTGTACGGTCTGACTGTTCTATTCTTTGTGTGGTAAATGTTTGAGTGTTTTTTGGTGTTGAATCCTGGATCATAAAATAGCCTTGTCAGTTGCTATGGCAACAAGTCTGGCATAGCATAGCTGACAGGGCGAGAAAAAAGTGTTTTTTTCTGCGTTATTTTTCCTACATAACTATCTCCAGGTCTATGCACTGCATGTAAAATAAATTTTTTGCCCTCCAGCATTGTGCACATGCACATAATTTCCAGATGTAAACAATAACATGCAAAGGGTCCATATCAGCATTTTTCTAAAAGTTTTTTTTAATCATATGGTTATGTTGAATCTCAATTTTTTTCTTTATACCAACTCTAATTCCCAATTTTAATAGATTTTTTTGTCTCCCTTTTCTTTCTTACGAAGAAAGGAAAGGGAGGAACACAGCAAATGATGGCCGGGAAGCGGGGAAGGACGGGTTGTCCTGTCAGACCATCAGTTCCCGAAAACAAACACACACACACACACACACACACACACACACAAAAAACCCCTCATAAAAGTGCACGCGGGATCAGTGCAACCTCTCTGGACCACGCACAGAATAAAAAACTGAACTTCCCACATCTGCCGCTTTTACTAAGTGTTTCTGCATTAAAGGGAATCCTAAAATGAACACTAGGCTAGCATCTATTTTCTCACTGGTTGCCGTCTCGGTCTGTCTGTGGTAAAGCCACAGTGTGGGTTGTGACTGTGTGACCAGCACACTTCTCAACTAAACTGACTAAAGCAAACATGCAAAAAAATTCCAAAACTGTTTTTAATGTAGCTTCTTAATATTTATGTGTGTTTATTCTTTTGTTTCTTTTCCAGATGATGTATTCTTGCCCAAAGACATCGACCTTGATAGCACAGAAATGGACGAGACAGAGAGGGAGGTGGAGTATTTCAAAAGGTATTTTATTTTATTGCAACTCTGTGTACTTTTTTTTTTTTACCAGCATTTCCAGTTATCAATACCATTTATATGTACCTAATAGAAGGGATAACTCTGTGATGAGCCTATTTAGGACTGTTTTGAATCCAAATAATTGGATTATGGTTGTAATAAACACATTTTAAAAAATTAGATTTATTGTCAGATATGTTCCCATCTCCCATTTTTACATTAACTCTTTCAGAAAAGATTAAAACCACCTCCAGCAAACGCAACAACTTCTTTGGCAAATTGATGAAGTCATTTCTAATGTTGCCGTTTCCATCAACCTTTTCTAATGTGCTACTGTGAAATGTGCTTAAAAATATTGATGGAAACATGGCTGGTGTCTGTTGATGGTAACGCTCTAAAATTGAGCGTTAAATATTAAATGAGTGTTTATGCTACAGAAAAATTCAATACTGACCCTTTTTACTACAAAACATTTTACTAAGCTTCTCTTTGTACATTTTTCCATTTTTATTTTCTTATTTTTTTTTTTTCTTTTCCTTCGTTTCAGATTTTGCTTGGACTCTGCCAGACAGACCCGTCAGCGGCTCTCCATCAACTGGTCGAACTTTAGCTTGAAAAAAGCTACATTTGCTGCACACTAAGGGTGTTGTTAACATGTCAGACTACAAACCAGAACCCTTATTGCTATAAGAAAACTTGCCCCAAAAGCCTCCACCCCTGACCTGATAGTGCCCCCTCCACCTACAGAATCTCTCTCCTGCTGTGCCCAAATCACACCCACGCTGCCTTGCTTTGTTCTTGTTCCTATGTGGTTCCAACACAAATCCATCTGGACTAATTTACCTGCACAGATTAAATGGAAATAACACAAAAAGAATCATGAAATGCTACTTCACATCTGATTAATCTTCCTTGCGTGCTTGTGTGCTTTTAGTCTGAGATGAAGGTTTCTTTTGACTAAAATAGCCATTGGCAAACCTGTAGTCAAAAGATGCTTACTATTTCTGGATGGTTTCCTTCTGAAAAAAAAAGGAGACTATGGAAACTACAAAAAAAGAGAAATTACTGAATTAAAGGTGTATTTGACATTTTGTGGCTTACTATCCTATCGTTCCACAGCGTCTGATCCACTCGATTGACAAGGGAATAGGCTTGGTTAGCTGGTTTCCACTTCCCTCTGCCTCCACCGCCTCCATCTGATTTCATAGAAAGGAGGAAGCCGTAATACTTGACACTGTTCTTCTTTTGGTTTTAAATTCTGTTTAAAAAAAAAAGAGTCAAATTAGTTTCTTTTTTTTCTTTTTTGACCTGTAGTCAGCTTGTGTCAATACTTTCAGAATGAAATCAAAAAAGAACAATACTCACACTATCAACATGTTATAGAGTGTATATTGTATTAACACTGAAGCCAGTCTGGCTACTTTTTAACATATTGTTAAGTAATATTAAATCTTGTCTTTCTTTTTGAAAGATGGAATACAGTAGTATGGCAGGCTTACGTGTCTTGTGTCAAATTTTATTTTCTGCACCCAGTAAAAAATGTCAAAGAACACACACACTTTATACTAAGGCATAAAGAGGAAAAGGTTGATTTGTTGAAATTAATCCACAGCTTCCTGTAACCCTGGCCATGATGTGACTCATGGCTGGATGAAACTTTCTTTTTAGCTAATATTTAAGCAACTTCCTCAGCAAAACTACTGACCATAGTCATTACATTATGTGGTTGCTACATGTCAAAAACAATGAAACCAATAAGGAACAATTCCAAAACTTTTAAAGCAATGGTTCATTTTAGTTACAAATAACCACTCTTCTAATTTCCCTCTAAAGCTAGCTGTGCTGAACTGCTAGAGTTGGTTTGTCTCAATGAAAAATGAGTGACAGACTTGAGTTGATGTGTCTTCTCTTGTTCCCCTTTATAAGGTAATGGTTCTGTCTGCCTTTGTCTGTAAAAGGAGGACAGACAAAAAAAGTAACATTTAGATATTACTAAAATGATTTTTCTTTCTGTCCCCTTGTATAACTACAGATAACATTTTCTCTAGTATGTTCCTAAATAAGAGATTTGCCTCTTAACGTCCTGTTTCAGCCAGCTGTACAGCAGTGCTAGCATTGAATGATCTGAAACAGAATCAAGTGAAAATGATGTTTGAGTTACAGTGCTTTTATGTAACCTTTTATTCAACATGTACAAAACAAAATAGGTTTGTTTTTCTAACTTCCTGTTGCAGCTAGCTGTTATGCTAACTATCTAGACTTAGAAACAAACGCAGACTGGCTTGACCAAGTACTTTTTTTCTACCTTCTTCTGTATATCGGGTAACTTTTAGTATCTCATTGAATGAAAAATGTTTCTTCTACTTGGATAAAGGTACTCTAGTGCGTTGTGACCCCAGTAACTGCTCCATTCCTGTACTAATGCCTGATACTGTTTTAAGATGGAAAAACAGTGTTTTGTGTCAAAAAATTGGACAACAAAGTTAAAGTAATCAGAATTGAAGGTAAGTACATTTTGCTAGTTGGAGGAATTTTTATCTCCTGTTTGCTGGCTTAACTAATTGTGGCTTTTCCTGAACCTGCTGCTATGAGTGTGAACAAGGGGAAGGAAACATACAAATGAAACCAGATTTGTCTCCTGATGTTTTACCCCAACTAAAGCATGATTCTTATGTTTTCTTTCTTTTCCATTATAAAGAATATTTGGAATTTCCATTGGTTTCAAGCAGTCATTGGAACTAATGAAGTTAATTTATATCATGTCAATTCCCAACAAATCTCATCTCAAGTCATTTAAAATGATTAATGGGTTTAAGTGATAGACCTATTTAATAAATTAGAATATTATTAAAAAGTTCTGAGCTTTCTGTAGCTCAGTTCAGTAATTTAAACGCATGTAGATTAATTCCACACAGATGTTTTTGATTAGCTTTCTGTTAATGTTTTTTCCACTTCCAGCCAATGGGGAAAAAAACTTTTAAAACTATATATAAATAAAGCGTTAACACAGAAATGTGAATTTCCTAAGAAATTATGTTGAATACCTACTTAAAGTTTTTTTTTTTTTTTTCAAAAGGTACTTTGAATGTCCCTCACTGGAATGCATATTCAAAACATTTTAGATGAGACATTATTTACATGTGTTACTAATCAATTTACAGATGCATTTGGATTCAGTTAAATGCATTTGTGATCTAACTATAATTACAACTGTTGAAGAGGCTGGAGCTTGATGCTGCTGTGCATCACATATATGTACATCCCATACACAGTATACCGACAAGTTGATTGATTTTTGGCAAAAACCACAATGTCACCATTGTTTTTTCAAGGGGTTGAATTGTCATTGCTGCCGGCACAATGGCAGGAATTTTGACCAATTGTTGCTTCTGCACGTCTGCGGCTATGTGGAGTTGCAGGGTGAGTCACACGTTCATGTACCAGTTCCTTATGGGAAATCCTCCAATTAACAGTCATAATCAATGAAGAGGGGCTTTGCAACTGAGTCAAGTAGATCCCAAGACTTAAGTTTCAGTTGCAAAGTACGTCAAATAAAAAAAGCCGTTGTTTTCAATGACTTAAGGGTTTTACAGATCTTTATCTGTTCATCACTTAACTCCAGATTAAATTTGGGACAGGTATTGAATCATGGTTTCAACCCTGTTCCTCTATTTTTGGTTAGTTGTACTGACTGGAAGGCATCTTATAATAACTAGTGAAACTATACACTTGACTAATTGATCTGAATTCAAGGAAACACATTTCTTCCCCAGAACACAAGTCCCATCTTTTGAATGGTGCTGTGATGAGATCAGCTTATTGGTTTTGAACAATTAAGGAACTCTTCTGATGTTTGTGTAAAACTCTGGATTAAGAGATGAAATTAAGGATGCAGAAATCCCACCCCTCAAATGCCTTTAGATTTCTATATCAAATGCATTTGGCTCTAAAGCTGAAGCATTTTCATGCTTTCTTATAAAAAGCCCAAATGACTAATAAGGAAGAGGAAGTGAGGTAAGGTTGTGTTCATCTCTGCTTCCTCTTAACTTGTACTGAGAGCTGCTGCGCATTAAAATGGTGGGATTTCGCTATGAGTCCCAACCCGATGAGTATTTTGTGTGGTAAAACCTCATACAGGAGAAGATGCTAGGTTTTTTTTTTTTTTTTTTTTACATTTTTTTTTATTGTGCTTGCCAGAGCTACCAGATATGACTCATAAATCATTTCAGGTATGAATGACAGTCTGACTGTTTGTAGTTTGAGCTGGCTCTCAGTCAGTGCTGATGTAATTTTGGATCTACCACATTTAGGCAAATCTACGCAAATGTAGACGAGTCAAAAACACCCCGAAAAATTGTATGAGACACAAACGTAGGACGTGATCTAAATAAAATGTGATAATGGAACAGATTTGTTTTTGACATCTGCAGAGGGGCGCTCTGAGTTGATGCTATTAAAAATAAGAGTAAGTTAAACTTCCTTGAACCAAGAGGTTCCTACAAAAGTTTCCCAAATGGATGTGTAAAAAGCAAACGTGTGCTCCACAGACCGGCCTGATAGTGAGTGTCGGGGGAGGGGAGGATTCTTGTCACTGTAGGCTAATTTAAAGGAATGAGAGAAGCTTTTTAGTTTGAAATAAGAATGCTGTTCTTTTCATTCCAAAAGTGCCTGGAGCATCTCAGCATGGCGTACACTTCCATCGAGGGAATCCCCTTCTTCTTCTTCTCAGGCTAAAATCTGCCTCAGTGAAGTTTAGGTGGCTGATAGCTTAAACCATTGACTTCCTACCAAGAAAAAATGAAAAGAAGCAATTTACTTTAATACCCACTGAATCAATCAATAAACACTGAATCAAAATGATCTCCTTATGGCCACAGCAATCCATTTAGTTTGTATAAACCTGTATGCTGTTTTGGGAATTTCCACGCAATGGAGGGAAATTCCCATTCTTTTAGGATTCACATAAGATTAATGGTTGTATCCATCCATTCTGTGTTTGCCTGGATAAGTGTAAGGCTAAAGTTTTTCCTGTCTGGATGTACGACAGCTACCTTCAGTTGCATCCCGGTGCTTTGAAAACCAGTTTCTGACAGGAACTGATCATCTGTTGTAACCTTTCTTTTAAAAAAAATTCTTTGTTTCTTAGAAAAGTTCCCAGAGACTCAGGTGGGGACTTGTGACCTATTTCTTTCCACTCTGAGATGGGTGGGTTGAGCACTTGTGTGGAAGTTCAGTCACTTTTAGACCCTGTTGTAACGCGTAGGAGGGATCTGGCGGGGGGAGAATCCCCAACAGAGACCTCGTGGCTTTTTTTTTTTTTTTTTGTATGTCAGCTCCTCTGTGTGTGTGTGGCTTGCTTTCAGACAACATTTTCAAACTGCCCTTTAAAAGCCAAATATGGAAGCAGTGCTTCTGTGGGCACATAAGATAAAGTCTTATTAGTGAAATCAGTGTATTGGAAATCTTTTAGCCTCCAGTATTTCCCCTTCGTTGTTAATTATTGACTTAACATGTGATACCGTTGTAAGGATTGAAATCCTTACAACGATTTCAAGCTGAACTTAATGGTCTCAAATATTTTTTTATAAGACAAAAATTTCAATGTCAAAAGTTTATAAAATATTTTATCAGAAGTGCATTGGATAATAGAAACTCTAATCGGTATCACTTCTCCAGCACAAACCTATGCTATCTGGTAGCCTAGCTAAAATGCTAAATTAGCTGTGATGCCAGGTAACTGTACAATCAAAACTGGGTAAAATCATTAAAATCACTAACAGTATACCATGGGGCAGTTCCAAGGCCAGAACCACTTCTCGGCAAAAAGAAGATAAATTCTTGTCTCATATTAGCTAAAAAAAAAAAAACACCAATGTTGATGCCAGAGACGTTTGGCAAAATATTCTGATAAAACAAAAGTAAATTTTCTTGAAAGCTCCGTGCCTCGTTAAATCCGGTGAGAGCAACATGGTGTTTTAGAGAAAATCCCTGACATGCTGACAATCAAACATGTTGGTTTGCAGTGTGATGCTGATTTGCTGCTTCAGGCACTGAATGACTTGCACTAAATGGCTACAAAAAGGATGAGTTGAAGGTTTTTCAAGGGGGTTAGGATTTAATTTGGATTGACATGCTGTGATGAGGCCTTAAACAGGATGTTCATGCTTGAAAACACTCCAGTGTGGCCGACTAAAGGAATTGACCCAGATGACACAACTTTGTAAGGCTGCATCTGAATAAACCACAAGACAATTGTTCGTTATCAGTGTGAAAGTGATGTTTCTATCATCAATCCGTTTTACTTATGTTAGTTTGTATCTCTTTCTCGTACCTGTAAATATCGATATTGATCTGGATCGTTGGGTCCAAATTTGTCTAGAAGTTATTCAAACCCTTTTCTACCATTTTGCAGGTGGCTGTAAATCCTTTATCATAAACTTCTGATCTGAACCTGGAGCTCCAAGCAGACCAGCTCATGCTCCTTGTTTTTTCCCT